TCCACACGCATCGTTTTTGAACTAGCTCAGTAATAGAATTTGATCAATCTTAAGACAGAAAAAAATGCACTTGTTATTTCTGTAAAGGAGTCTGTTCTTTACAAATGCTCTCTTGAGAAAGCACGGAACTACTGATAACTTATAAATAATGACATATCTGAATATCCTCTCACTGTCAGTCAGCCAGTATAGGAACAGGCTGGTCTCTAGTCTGCTAATTACCATTTCTAGAATTTTTCTTTTTTTTTTTTTAGCCAGTTTTATATACCAAAGGTTTAGAAACAGAGGGTCAAAGTTTTAATTTTAGGTTGTGAAGATTTCTTCTTGAGATATTTTTAATTATCTACTTTAGTGCTACCCAACAGAATTTTATTCAGGTGATGGAGATATTTATATCTGTCCAATATGGTAGTCACTGTGTGTGGTATTGAGCCCTGGGAGTGTGGCTAGTGCAACTGAAGAACTAAATTATGAACTATTTCAGTTTATTAATTGTAAATTTAAATTGCTGCATGTGGGCTAGTAGCTTATCATATGACAGTGTGGATCGTACACAATTAAAATAGTCAGTAAGAACCTATGAATTCCTTGAAAACACCTAAATAAAGTTAATCCATTCATTTAGATTTAATTTACCTTAACTTGAATTTTATACCTATATCCTATATTACTTTGGGGAAAACTTTAGAGGAAGAATTTTTCTAAATGAGCTGGTTGTCACATCTGTGGACTGGGATTCCTATGGCAAGTTTACATCTTTGCAAAACAGAATTCGAGCAGCCGCTTGATTAAGAATTCTTGTTTAAATTTCTGTCTCCAGAAGGGTGCCATAGATTTGGCCTTGGGGATAAATTTCCCAGGAAATATTTTATGAATGAGTGACTCTTTCCTCTTATAGTATGTCGTATTTTAGTCTTGAATGCGAGATCTGATAATTGTAATATCAACATTATTAAATTCAAACTATTATTGGGTTATATATTGCTGACCACAAATGCATTGGATTATTATAAATTTAGTAGATTTATACATATAATATGTATGACCAACTCCTGGGGTGTAAGCTCATTAGTATTTATTTTGTATGTATATGAGCATGTTTAGATTAGTTCTGCGTTAATGATGCTAATTTCAAGAATATTCAGTAAATTCAATATAATCAACGACCTAAAATAGATCGATAGTATGCTTTCTAGGAAGCATCAGAATTGTCTGATTCAGGTTAAAAGCAATAATTCGATATACTGTTCTTTGCCATTCATTGTATTCAAGACTTCTTAATTTCCACTTTCCCTCTGACCCCTGAGTTTCTGGGGGCCCCTCAGCTGCTGCCGCCTCCTGCTCTGATACCTGAGGGCGACACCTGCCTCCTGGGAGGCTTCTCTCCTCGCCAGCACGCCCTTTCATCACTTTCACTCGGGGAGTCGCCCTCACCAGGAGTTTCTGAAGTCTGTGTTACTGGAGGTCTCTTGACGACTGATAAATACGCCTCGGCTTTCAAAGGTTCCAGGTTTTGAATAGAATTTTTATCTCTTACAACCTTTTTTTTTTTTTAATAGGATGAAACAGGTATTTCATTTCCCTCTGTAGTTCCCGTGTTTCTTTTAGGGATGCTGCTCTTCCGCTGAAGACGGTTGCTTTCCCGCCCTAAAACCCAGTGCTGATCCTGCTTGCTGAAATTAAGCATCTTCTTTTTTTATTTCTGACCCAGACGGTGGTTTTTCTATTGTGTTCTTTTTTGTTTCATGGGAACTCTAGTAATGAGATGTGTGAAGTCACGGTGCTCTGGCTCTGCTGACAGCATTCTCTCAGGGGAACAAAAACTAACCCTCTCACATCTAATTTCTCATTGTCCCTTTCCTGCGTTTCCCCATTAATAGGTTTCCACTTTCATATCTTTGCAAAGGTCATGCCCACATTTAATAAATGTGGACGCGTCACGAACTTGTGTGCCATCCCTGCGCAGTGCTGGCTGTGCCGATCCTGTCCGCATCTTTCCAGTTAGCGTCTGCGCTGCTGAGACGGGCCCCTCACTCACTGTTTGACACAGAGATGTTTTCTGTTGCTTCTGCTAACAGGATCATCTAAAACTTTGAATTCCACACGCATCGTTTTTGAACTAGCTTCAGTAATAGAATTTGATCAATCTTAAGACAGAAAAAAATGCACTTGTTATTTCTGTAAAGGAGTCTGTTCTTTACAAATGCCTCTCTTGAGAAAGCACGGAACTACTGATAACTTATAAATAATGACATATCTGAATATCCTCTCACTGTCAGTCAGCCAGTATAGGAAACAGCTGGTTCTCTAGTCTGCTAATTACCATTTCTAGAATTTTTC